TGTAAGCTATCAAGAAGCAAAAATGAGCCTCCATCCACTTTTCCTATTCTAAATAAATGAATTCTCATACTTGGAAGGGATATATGTGACCATAATCTATGGCATTTAGGACAAAAACTTAGACAGGAACTGTAGGTGATCTACCACATAGAGTTTACAGGAAGTGAAATGAGCTCTATCCAACTCTTGCAACAAAGACAGGTTTCTCTGAACCAATGAAAAAAATTATATGCATCAGGGGTTGTGCATCATTCAAATGTGAATCCAAACTTCAATATTCTCTCAGGAACTCTTAAATGAAAAAGTTTTGTACATCCCAGGTACCGCACCAACAATATTTCAAGTATGCCAATAAATGCTCAGGAATGTGGGATTTCCACAATCAGCAGATCAGCAACTTCCCAAGATCACCCCATTACCAACTAATCAGGCATCATGCATTTCTAATAGTGGTTTTACTCAACTTGTTAACAATAAAGAAAATTAGAGCTGCTTATAAGAAGAAAAACAAAGCTGGTATTGACCATGTCACTTACTGGTAGTCTTACTTGAAGGTGAAAGTGGAATGGAGTCCTGGAACTTGATATTAATTTCTTTTTCAAGGCAATGTAGTTTGTAGAAGTATCTCAGTAGGAACAGTTCTGCAGAAACCTGTGAAAAGACATCATAGATTAGAAGTTTTAACATAGTTACACTTTCATTTTCACCACCAACAGAGTGAAGGTTGAGTATGAGAAAAGACAAACATATTACAAGTAACATCCATACAGAGGCTTGGCACAAATAAATTTTCTTATTCACATGTGACTTTCCAAGGTCAATATACTGTACAATCTTAGAACATGCAGAATGCAAGAATGTTAGAAAGAAAAACAGGTGTACTTGAATGTTTATCTATAGAGGTCTCTTCTATTTTTATGCATAGAGAGATGCTAATTTTATTGAATTATTCCAATGAAATTTAAAACATTAATATTAGTAAAATAAATAATAATATATAAATATTAAAAATTAAATACAGAATTTTCTCTGGAAAGAAGAGAAAATTTTCAAACATGCATATATTGTTTATAGTTTGTATTATCCCTTCTCTTCCTTTTGTGTCTCGCTTTGCATTTTCTTTTTGCAATATGGTACTCATTGAGCATCCCTCAAGAACAGGGAACTGTCTCAACTACATCATGTTCGCCTTTGGATAAGACATGGCTGCAGTGACATTGATGCCTTGAGGTCCTTATGTGCAACAACATCAAGGCAATTTTAATTTTCTCTAGGTATCACATACATTCTGTATGATCCAAGATAGACGATGATGCAAGATTGACTATGGTAGGTCTAAGTGGACAGGTGAGTGGAAATTCATTCATTAATCCAGTCTTTTCCAAGCCGCTTAGAGAAACTTAATGGGTTTGAAGCGCGAGCAAGCCCAGGAGCATCCTCGAGTGTTCACGATTCTGCACAATGGACTGAAGCTCAGCAGGTGGAATACCGAGCCTCTCGTGGTAAAGCTTAGCAATTTAGTACGTCCACCTCGCATGAGGCATACCGGCCGGTCTGCAGGTCATTTTTGATGGGGAGACTCTTTTTGGGCGTCTCTCGGGGTATGCTGGAGACGCGTCCAAACCACCGGAATTGATATCTCTCGATCCGAAAAAATTCCTGCTCGACCTGGAGGTTCTCACGGATCCCAGCAATTTGCATATTCCCATTTGGCAAAAAACAGGCTGCCCGCCGCAAGAACCTCATCGAAGCAGCCTGTATTCGCGGCCTGATTCTTTCGGTCATTGCTCAAAGTTCGTGGTCATAGGTGAGAGTGAAAAGATGAATACCTTAAAAACCAAGAGCTTCGCCTCCTTGGAAAAGCTAGATTTGGCAACTACGGTCCTCCAAAGTTCTCGCATAACTGCGTAAGCCCAGAAGATGCGGCAGTTGATCTCGTTTCCGTATCGTCCATCACCTGAGAACCAGATCCAGTGGTACTTAACTTCACCTGTTCCAGTGGGGTATCACGTAAGGCACACCGGACAGGGCTTCTCGAGAGGACTATAACCTGCGATTTGGGGACACTCGATTTCATTCCTGCCGCAGAAAATTCGAACCGAACCGGTCTACTTCTGAAGCTCTTGGTGAGATAGGGCCAAAAGGATGGCATAATCGGAAACGAGAAGTATCTGTGCCTCGATACTCCCAATGTAGACCCCCCTCGAGGCCTAGGGTGCGTCCACAAATTCTATTCATGCACAAGAGGAACAAGAAAAGAGAGAATGCAATCCTGACAGAGCCCAACACGTACCGGAAACGAGTCCTTCGCTCATCCATTCATTCGAATGCAATCACTGAAATGAAGATCGAATAGCTCGCAGTTGCTGTCCGTTTATCCCATACTCCCCACAGCACCTTCCAAAACTCCCCTCGAAACACACGGTACTGCCTTTTCGAGGTCACAAAGCAAACGTAAAACACTCTGACATACTCCCCATATTTCTCTTATATTTGGTTAAGAGCTAGTCCGTGGCGTTGCGCCCTTAACGATATCTGTCCTGTTCCTCTTCTGATGGCTTCTCCGGTGACTGCTCGACTCTCTTTTCCAACGCCTCCGCGGCATACCAGATATGTCGAAGAGGGTGATTCCACAGTTAGGCCGAGTTCATACTCGTGCTGTACAGCATGCTGGATGTTGAAACTGCATGCAAGGTAAAAAATTCAATGTCAACGTCCACTGGGTTTTTGAGCAAAGTATGCAGTTGCAGCATCTAGCATGCCATACAGCACGAGTATGAACTCGGCCTTATCGGTACACTCCCTCGAGTCCACCTTCTCAAATAGAAGAACCACCACACTGGTCTCCCAATCCATATGTGGCATCCCAGATTACCATGCAGTTCGACATATCCTATGCAAGCACGTGGCCCATAGGTGCACATTGCTTTCAGTGCCTCTGCCCGGATTCCATTCCTACGAGAAGACTTTCTTCAAGCTAGCGATAGCTTGTTGAAATTCCTCCATGGTAAGACTATTCTCTGTGCATATTGGCTTTGAGTAGGATTCATCAGAGTCCGCCGTGAAAGGGTTTTGGAGCACCTTAAAAAAGTTCCTTTCACCTTTGAATTCCTTCGGCTTCGCAGTCAAGACCTTTTCGTATTGCTTTTTCATGACCCAGAGAATAAGTTGCCTGCCCCGCGAAACCTTCGAATGGTTTGCCAGAACATCTTGTTAGCAGTGCGGCCGTTATGTTCAACGTCTTCGCCGAATTTCTTTCATGCCTCCACTTCGCTTCGATTACGGCTCAAGCAGCAACTCTACGCACCTCCCTGTAACACATCCTTAAAGGTTCCGACCAGTTGGATATGTACTCACTATAGGCTGCCTTTTGGGCAGCAATAGCCAGACGTACCTCTGGTGTCCACAAGGTCCACCGCTTGTCGTTACAGTGTGCCACTCTGATTCGCTTTACGCCACATACTTTCACTGCTTCAATCAAAACGCCAGATGGAAAAAGATCCCATTCGTTCTCTGCGTCAGAAATCTGGTGAGGCAGTTGGGAATAACTTTCGCCGTTCACCTATGCCAAAATGGCACAAGTGTTCTCATCGTTCCGTGCTTCCCACCATACCCGTTTTGCAATGCGTGTTCCACCCAGTTCTGAGTTAAGTCCGTATCTGGAGTTTGCTAGCCACTAGATAGTGGTCAGTTCTCAGCTCGATCCCACGCTTTACCTTTGTATCCGTTAATAAGTTCCACAAGTCGGCCAAAAGGATCACATGGCCGATATCAGCAACTGCTAGAACACAGTAACAGTCCGAAAGCGGAACTTGTTTTGTTTCGACGTCGATGTTTCGACATGCAGCTGAGATTGGTAGACTCATCTTAAACCTGCTTTCCAATGTTGGCTTTTCATGGTTGCAACATCTTACAACGGTGAGAATGATAACATCACAGTAACGGAAATGAGTTTAACATTGACCTCCCCTATAATAAATTCTAAGTTGTGAAAGAAAACTTGCCTCTGAAAATCTGAACCCTTCCAGTTGCAATGCACATCTGATGAAAAGGTAGTAAAATGACTATGACTTTCATCTTTCCAAATCTGCCATATTGTCAATACATCAAGGTGTTTGCAGGAAGAAATCAAAGATTTTTCAGTACCAGACATTTTAAAAGTCACACTCACTGTTCAGAATACCACATCATGTGTACCAATGGTTACAGTATTGTGAAAATTGGTGTGCAGACCATTTGACCAAGGGGAAGGTAATGCACATTAGTGACACTACATGGGTATGGATGTAAAAGTGATAATCGCAAAAACAAATTATTTTCAATGAGCTGCTAAAATGGTTGAGCAGTCTTCATGAAAGATGGTGCCCCACCTCACATTGCAAACTGAATGGAACATGTTCTCCAGGCGACTTTTGGAGACTGTGTGGTCAGTCAACACCTTGAACCACTTTGACACTCTGGACTTAGATCCTGGCCTACAAGATTACCTGGCCTCATCCCAGCAGACTCTGGGGTTTGGGGTTATGTGACCAATGGGAACTGCATTGAACATCTTTGAACACTTTCCTTTGACATCACAAACATGAATGCATTGCCTCTCCTGATGTTGAATTGATTCACACACAAAGTTTGGTACCTCTACATCCAACAATATGCTCTCCACAGCCACATAAACTGTGGAAATGACTTTTGAAACACTCAGTACATATTGAAATATCCATGTAAACCAAGGAAGAGCTAAGTGAGAATCTGGGATCATATTGAAAAAAAAAACCATGATGAAATATTTCATTCATCCATGTCAGTCTAGTCTGGGTGCAATCCCAGGATTAATTTTGCTTTTTATCACAAGATGCTCCCTGAAATGCAGGCAAATCCCCAGAAACTATGTTGACCAAATAATAAAAAACCAGTAGAGGAAACCAAGCCTGGGAGGTATGAAGCATATGTCCCAGTACCATATCATAAACCATTTATCTGTATGCATTTACACAACCCACCTTCCAAGGCACAAGTTCAGAGTAGATTTTCTGGACTTCAGGAGATCTATCCAAGAAACTCTGTAAATCTTCCATCTTTTCATGCAAGTCAAAGGTTTTCAGCCAGGAATGATAAAAGTCCAGGTCTGCTGGATCTTTGAGATATGTTGACACATCAAGGAGGAGCCTTTTCTGCAAGAGACAATGTCATCTGGAGTGCAGGGCAAAAAGCTATTCAAAACAGCTAAATTAGTAATTACAATGTCTGTTCATTCATACAAGCTTCCTGTTGTAAAGCAGTTGTTCAGCTGTTCCACCATTTTCCATCACACCTATGTCAGCAATTATGGTAGTCATGACTCAGGGCAACTTTTTGGTTGTTTCTCCTCAGAAGACTGTCTGACCCCATCACAACATGGCTGAACCAGAGCTAGGCACTCAGCTGAAAAAAAATATAATTGTTCATATCCCAGTTGCAATAATTTCTAAAGATGGTACTGACAATATTCTTACTACATTTCAATGGCAAAGCTGATGATTCTTCCAAGTTCACAAAGGTGTATCCATAAGGTACTTAGACTGCATTTAAAATTTATGGAATAATAATTCTCTACAAAGAATTTACTTCCAAGAAATTACTTCCTACCACTTCAGTGTCAACTGTCTGGAAATACAGGTATATCAATCTTTGAGGCCATCAATAAATAAATGATTAGCTTCTACATATATTTCAAGGCATGAGATTTGGAGAACTTTCCATAGGGAGTGTGGTCTCTGGAAGCATGAAAGTCCCAGTATTTCTATGTTAACAGTCAAGAAACCTGGATGTACATTTCTAAATCATCAAGGCTTTGCTAGGAAAAATGTATTTTGTATGGAGGAAAATGGGATAATATCAAAACTTTAGCTTTTAAAGTCAAGCTGTCCCCGAAAAATTGCAGGTCAGATGTGCCCATGGAGGTGATCTTTGTGGATCACCCCATATAACTGCTAACATAGGGCTGTGGGCCAGAGATTAAGTTTGGCATTGCATCAACTTCAACATTTCTACTTGTATGATCAACACCTATTGATTAAGCAATGACCAACTAAACGTAGCTGAACAGGGAAGGCAACTGAATTCTTAAAGAAAAGATCCACCCTTATAATTCATAGTTCTTGCCATTAAATGAATTCATTTATAAGGATTTTTGGGTAGCTCAGAGATGATTATATAAATTATAGCTATAGCACAGCCCTGTCAGCTAAACATGACAGTCTGTTGTTTCTCTCTATTTTCTTCATTGTTCTGTATGCATTCAGTTATAAAGTGAAGAAAGGATGGGAGGGGGCGATGATTAGGTGCTGTAGTCTTGCAATGTCAGCTCTAGTCCCACTCTCCCCCAACTGAGATCTAACTGCAAGCCTGCAGAAGTCTGAGAAAGGCATTCAAGTGGGATGTGATTTGCTGCAACCCTCCACTCTGCCTCCTTGATCTCAATAGAATGCCTGGTTACACCACTGGGGTAGGAGGGAATGAAATGGAAACTCTGACCCCTGCCCCCCTTCACTCCTCCTAACTTGGCATTGAGTGAAATCTGGGTTATGCTGTTTACATTGGCTCTATACCTGGTCATTACTGAATCAATAAGTGTTGATCATACAAGTAGAAACGTCAAATCTGATGTAATGCCCAACTAAAAATAGTCTTTAAATTAATAATTTGGGATGATCCACAATGATGTACCCTCCTCCACAGGCATATCTGACCTGTACCTTTTTGTAGTTGAACAATTTGATGCTAGAAGCTAAAGTTTTGATTTTTTCATCATTTTTCTTTCCTCATTACCAAATAACACATTTTTTAAAGAAAAGCCTTAATGGCCAAGAAACATATATCCTGGTTTTTGGACTATTGACAAGGAATGACTCACTGCTCAATCATGCATATAAATGGGAATTTCACTGGAAACTTCAAGGAAAGAGAGTTCATTTTTCAATTTTCGTAAAAAGATGGAAAGAAGAAGACAGAAGTAACCTGATGAGGAGAATAATGCCTCTTGATCATACCCTTACATGGTATATCTTTTTCATTTCTTTTCAAGTCCAAAGTGAAAATTGAAGACTGAGAAGTACCTTAACAAAAAATGTAACTGTAACTAAAGTCCTGGCAGAATAATGCATTTAGCAGGGATACCCACAACCACTCACTGAGGTAAGCAGGGTTGTGTGCAGGGTAAGAGGGGTTGACAGCAAAATTTGGAGGCTGAGGGTGATGACAATCCAGGCTGCAAGGAAGGAAAAGGGATGAGGAACAAAAATTCAGGTAAGGATGGGGGGAGGCTTTCCCTGTGCCAACCTATTCTTGTAAAAGAAGGCAGTGTCCTTCAGTAAAAAAAAAAAAAAAAAAAAAAAAAAAATTAATTCAGACAGCAACTTGAGAATGGAGAGGGAGTTTCTTTTAGCAAGTACCAAGGGCTCCTAAGCAGAGGGATGGTCAATGGGAAAGAATGTCATAGAGTGGATCAAAGCAAGTTGGAATGACCTACTAACTTACCTCGCAGAAAATTGCTTGTTGAGAAAGTATCTTAGTTTATATGGTCATGACAATTCTGACTTCTAGGTTTTTGCAACCCTCTCTCCAATGATGAACAAATCACACCTTCATGCTCACATTCCAAAAATATTTTGCTTAATCTAGGGATTTAGACTTGAAAGTCTAAATCCCTAATTCTACTGTGAGTAACCAATGGTGAACCTGAACCAAATGTAAATAAATGTGAATTGAATCAAAATCAAGCATTAAAATTCCATTAGACATTCTCCTGTCTTTAAAATAAGTATTGACTCATTGTACAGTTAGCACTTGATATAACAAATTTTCTTTGCAACAAATTTGTTTACTGTTTCTGGCCATTTGCCCATTCACATACATGTTGATAAGTTTCTCAATAATGAAGTACTGTATAATTAGTATATAATGTAATTAATAATGTAATGTAATTAATATGTAATTAATATATAATGTAATTAATAATGTAATGTAATTGTATAATTCAGTTTTACCGTCATTTTTTCAACCAAAGTAATAAAACTGTTCTGTATTATGAAGTTCTTAGACTATTTTCTGATCAGAGACTGAATGTTGAGCCTGAAACTTTTCAAACATTGAGAGCTCTGCAGACCATGGCTCAAAGAGTCATCCAGAAAGGAGCATGGCAGACAATCATTTGGGGCTTTGTTTCCGATGAAAAGAGAGTGTTGCTGACTCGTCCAATTTTTATCACATAATGACTAGCCTTTTCACACTAAGTGACCTTTTCAAGTGATATTGACACAAGTTTGATAGATCTCTTTTTTTCAGTGAAATGAGGGAAACTCCTATAATGAATTTTCCTTATAATGCATTTTTAGCCCGTCCCTTCGAGTTCATTATGTAGAGCTTCAACTGTATATGAACTGAGAAAATATGAACATTAGAAAGGTACATAAAAATTTAGGATGTGATTTACCCAAGTGAGTGCTTCTTATGGACCCAAATCAGTGTCAAAAGTGTAATCTGATGAGCTGAATTGCAAATTCACTCACAAGTAGGATTAAGCTAAGATACAGTTTGCTTCCATCACCGTATCTCTCCTTCAACTGACAAATCCCCTTGCCTCAAATGTAACAAAATACCCTAAGCATGGAGTATTGAAGTTTTTCTGCATGAATAGGTTTTTTCCTATGAGAAAAAAAGAATAAGTAAAAAAAATACATTGTGCCTCTCCTCTCTGTAATACTTCAAGCTGTGTTCAGACAATATATTCTCCCAAAGCCTAGTTACCTTGTTCAACATGTAAAGTCCATGAATAGCAGTGTACTGCCTTTTGATTAAGTCCTATCATGGAGTAAGTGCAATCCATTGTCATACCTTCACATCTGAATCTAAAATCAAATATGAATAATTCAAAACTGGCTCAAGGGGAATGCACATTTTCATTTTAATGCAGGCACAAGACAAAGATTTTGAAATGAAATTGTGCTATATTTGACAGTGTGCATGTTAAAGGTGCTTCCAAGAAGAAGGGGGAGGGTCTTCCAAAGAAAAATGCATTGAGTCCTTAGTTATAGGCGGTATGTAATCGTTTGTAACATTCATCATGAGTGAGAGAACTACTACAAGTTCACAACTTGTACAGCATAGTCTATATAAAATAATGGATTTTTAATAAATGGGGAGGGCGAAGTAGGAATTCCACCTCAAAACGCAATATCTCAGCCCGAATATGAAAACAAGGGCCTCGCGTTGAACCTAACAAACAGGAAATTTTAAATTTCCTACGCGTGCAACGATGAGAAACAACGGTCCTTAATTCCAAGCATGGAGTCCCCACACGTATCACCAAGGTATAACGTTGGCTGGTTATGTCAGTATACTCAGATTGCAAGAAGGAAAAAATCCAGTTTATGGAGAGGGAGCATGGGAAGCATGCGCTTCATGTACGCATGGATGCCACCATGTCTGACCAACAGGGAACTTCAAACTCCCGATGGGATTTCTTCCAGGAACTTGCATTTATGGCACCAGGAAGAAATTAGAAGCAGTCCTGTTTTCTTGTGTGTTTTCTAATATGATGTTCAGATGAATTTATTTTATTCCATATAGGCTCACCTACGACTAAGCGGGACGATGATGTAAAACCCGGAGGTAAGAAGTAGGAAGATCCTTGAGAAGCCCACTTTTCATCCGGGCCCCACCTGCGCATATGTTTGCGCAAGGGTATACAGCTCTGGGAACCCAGTCGATCAGCTGAATTTCCTCCCCTCTCTGGCTTTGGAATTGGTGAAAGGAATGGCCATGTCTTGTTTTCTCTCGAAAAAGGTCTTAGAGATGCATCAACGAACTTATCTTGTTGGGAGGCTTACGTCAGTTATTGATATGATTACCTTCGTGTTTGTTATCGGGTGGCCGAGTTTTGTGGGGCTTGTGACAGGCCTCGGTTACGTAGGCTAATGGGGCCTTAGGCCTAACATGAATCTTCAGAGGTGTTTTAGCCTAGCCTAGGCCTGTATAGTTTTAAGTATGGTGGTTCTATATGTAATAAACACCGTATACACTGGTTTCGTTATTTTCCGTGAGCCTACTATGAAGAAAAAAATTTTAATGTAGTGCTTTCGGGATGAGTTCACATGCCCTTTGAATGTGAACCATTGTTTTCTATGGGCCTACCGACAGGGGCGGAAGTAACGTTCCCTCCAGTTACTTATAACGAACTGGTAGTCAGTAGATGTCCCTGGAGTCAAAACATCAGAAGCGCTATTGCTTTTATTAGAGTGTGTACATTTCGTGAAAGAGCTACATTCTTCCACTGTGAGAGGCCTAATGTCAATCGATGCTCCATCCACACTTGGTGCAGCCATTAAGTTGTGTGGAATTATACTCAAGGCCTATAGAGTCTATTAGCATAGGTGTGACAGTGAACTGCCAGTGAATTTCTGTCACCTTTTATATTGTGCTGTGGTACTTCTAGCATTGCGGTATATCCAAGAAGGTAAAAGTATATCTCCTAGTGCTTTCAAATTTACCAAATTGCTGCTCTTTGGTAATCACAAGTCAAACTCAATACCATGTCAACAATTGGAATAATTATCTGTTGCCACAATTGGGCAATGGCATTTTCCAATTTTTTACATAATAAAGCATTAGTTTTAGTCCATAGCACACCATGTTTCCTGAAAGAAAATAATATTGGTAAAGCATTGTTCATTATGGCTGCCAGAATCAAGGAAATTGCAACCTATCAAAGCCAGCATTGCTAAAAGTAATGACTGGCCGAGGAAAACTTTTGAAAGCACAGATATATCTTATACTGCTCATAGGTGTTGGTAGTCAAGTAAAAAGTAATGTCAAGCTCAACCAAAGCTACAGGAAACAGTTGGGCAGACTTAATACAAAACCATGCAGTCTGCCTCTGCAACAGACCCTGACCTATTGCAGGCTGAGTTAATTATCCTAGTGCAGTTACTAGGTCTATCATGAGGTGAATACTTTTCTGTATTAGTGATAGAATAAAGTCTTGTTAGGCCTTAAGTGTAGGTGAGGTGATGTTATGGTGTGATATTAATTATTGTCTGGGTTTTTGGAGATTTGATCCTTACAAGAAAGAGGAGAAAGCAGAGAACACCTTTGTTTAAAGCATGCATATTCAAGCATTTGCATTTATAACTTGTACTAAAAAAAATGTTGTGGGAAGGCTTGATGATGAAAAAGACAAGACTGCTAGAAACACAAAAGGAAAGGGAATGAATGTATGATATTCCTTCATATTATGGATTTTCTAAATAACCCCTTGCCTGCTGTTGATTAACTATCTAGATGACAATCAATATGTCAGAGTTTTTATGATGGCTTTGTTTCTGTTCATTACATTTAATTAAGGAGTTAGGGATGAGAGAACATCATAAATCATTTAAGTCCTAAAAAATTTAAGTCACAACTAATGGACCATTTTCTTTTCAATCAATTTAATCAAAGCAATTTCATTGAAATAGGGAGGCATTGTCATTATAAGAATTCTTCTCTACAAGGTGTCTCCTATGTAATTAAGCAACTTGGATAGATCAGGGCAAACCAGTGACTTTTTGGCTAACCTGAAATATAAAGCAGTATTATTATTATTAATATAAAGCAGTATTAAGCAGTAAAGCATTGTGAAATGTGGAAAGCAGGAGCAAAAAAATGTGTGTTGTCTTCATACTTATTCAGAAATATGTTCAGAGGGAACATAACAATAATAACTAGGGCTGTCTTGATATAACTTAGGTAATCATTAGATGTCCTTGAAGTCATTTGTCTTTTTTTGCCATTCTCTGCAACTCAGGCTGACGTAAACCAAGGGAAGCTTTGAACTAAATTTATGAAAAGTTGCTGGAATTGATACTTAATTCAGCTGCTATTAATATATTCACTGCCAAAATCAACTCGAATTGATTTAATATATCTCACTGTGTAACTTTAACACATTGACCACCACACTACATGCTGAGATGTCATGTTTTTCTACCATGGGAAGGGTAAAATAAAAACTTGCAGTATGTCATGTCACTGGCATGTCATGCAATGCCATAGGAAAGAATTAGAAAAACCACCTTGGCAATCAATGTGTTAATTTGGAATGAAAACTACTGCCAAAGATGATCAGCCAAAATAATGAATTTAAATAAAAGAGGCTTTTGACATCACCCCGATGACCAGGAAGGATTGCACTTAAGTGTATCCTCCACTCTGCTATTAGCAGGAACTCTTGTCCAGTCTCAATGTCCAACTTCTTTTTAGTAATTGCTGATAGTATTGCTTTGGTACAGCAAGTTTTGATAAGAATATGAGAATCACTTGGAAACAGTCATACATTCATTGTGAAAGTTTTGCTGAGATGACAATTGTGAGAGGAGATATTGAGGTTACACCAAAGTAAAACTAAAAGAAAGTAGAGATCTAAAATTCCAAAGTATATTGGCCATCTTGAAAGTATATACTTTATAGATGGCCATATTAAGTCATTTTGAAACAACTGCAAGGAGATCCTGAAAGTTATTCAAGTTTAGAGCAGGTTTAGGAACAAGCATATAATTTCAACTCTAATGTTTTCACTGTCAGTCCTAGATTGGTTGTCATTGGTTGTCTCTGGGTTGTCGCAAGTCCATCTGATTTACCATGTCTGTTCTCAACATGAGTGGAGATGAGCAACTTGAATGCCCATTGTGCATGGAACCCTTGGAAGTTGATGACCTGAACTTCTATCCATGTCAATGTGGCTATCAAGTAAGTTTTGGCTTGTTTTTCCTGATTCACTAGTCAAACCATAGTCTGTGTGAAGTAGAGAGCTAGGTCTTGTATTATATGATTTTAGATTCATGATTTCCTCTTCTGCAGATTTGCAGGTTTTGTTGGCACAGGATACGAACAGACGAAAATGGACTTTGCCCTGCCTGCAGACAACCCTACCCTGAAGATCCTGTGGATTTCAAGCCCCTCACACATGAAGAGTAGGCATATGATATACACAGGGTCCATTTGTAAGGTAACATTTAATGATGTGTGTGGGTCATGATGCATTACATTTAAATAAGTGAGTAAGTACATTTTCTATTATGGTGGTGGAAGATGAGTAAATGCATTAATACCAATTACTTGAAGAAGTCTGTCATGCAGGATATACTTGCATGAAAATTTAAAATCATGATTCTACATTTGAGCCAGTAATTTTGATAAAACTCAGAAATTCACTATTGATCAAAAGTTACAAAAGTAGATACATACAAAAATTCCAAATGGCAGCTATATTTCAACATATGGATGGCGTTGATGTGAAAATCAGCAAGGCTGTGCATACAATTGACATTGAAACACTAAAAAGGGTTATTGAAGACTACCCGATCCACTTACATACCTGCATTGAAAATGGCATAAATGACAGTGATCATTTCAAAAAGTACTTGCCATTTGTTGTTATGTTCTTGCCAGTTTGTTTTATTCCTTGTGAACTCCTAGGTTCATAATATTGACTCTCCAAGAAATAGTTTTTTTTATTATTATTAAGTTGAATAATTTTATAATTTTTCAATATCATTTGTGTGTGTCCTGCATTGGTAATATTTGTTTTGACAATTTTCTCCCCCCCCCCCCCCCCCAAATTTTTTTATTCCTCCTTAAATCAAGATGCAAATTTTTTCTGGTTTATGAACAAATGCATCAGGAACCTAACATTTTCTAAGATGTCACCTAACAAATGGGAGATCATGTACATGTTCCCTCTAAGGGGTTCTCTTTGGGCATAGTCCTGAGTCATTCATCTTCCTCTCATCTTTAATTTTGAGGATTATTCTCTCAACTTTAGATCTCTTGGATCCTTTTTTTCATTGGAACACATTGAACAATTATAACAGCTCACATCTGCAGCTACCAGTAATGAAAATTACCTGTCTGATGACAGAGATTTTCTTGGAAGTCTTCAATTTTAAAGCCAGTGTTTATAATTAGCATTTTCTTATTTTCTTGTTACAGGGTTCAAAAATTTAAGCTGGAGAAGAAACAGAAGGACATGCAGAGGAAGAGATGTATTTCAGAGAACAGAAAGCACTTGGCAAATGTGAGGGTTGTGCAGAAGAACCTGGTGTTTGCAGTTGGCCTTTCCTCTCGATTGGCTGACACAGAAGCACTGAAGAAGCATGATTACTTTGGAAAATTTGGCAGAATTCTCAAAGTGGTGGTGAACCATAGTTCAGCCTATGCAGGCACACAGGTATCCTGCTTGAAGACTGCCATCTGCTGCAACAGGTCAAAATCAGGCCTAAGTCATTCTCTATCTGGTCACCAGGGTCCCAGTGCGAGTGCATATATCACCTATGCAAAAGTGGAAGACGCATTGAAAGCGATTCAAGCTGTGAACAATGTCCATGTAGATGGTCGGACTCTGAAGGCCTCTCTAGGGACCACAAAGTACTGCTCCCAGTTCCTCAAGAATCAACCATGCAACAAGGCAGACTGCATGTATCTGCATGAAATGGGTGAGAAAATGAAGACCATGTCTGTAGGTTGGATTAGTAAGCTTACTGCAGTGCATGGAGTTTTTCATGTAGGAGATGAAGCTGCCAGTTTCACCAAAGAGGAGATGCAGCAGGGGAAGCACCAGGAGTATGAGAGAAAGCTTTATGAACAGTTCATGAATCAATGTAATGCACAGACAAAAGATAGCAGGTTGGGATCTACCTACTTGTCACATCTGAGAACACTAATTTAAAATTTAACCATTTTAAAACTTGATATTTTGTTATTCTCCAGGACTGGGAACATTAGTGGAACATCACCGCAGCCAATTCCATCAACATTTGGTAGCGGAAGTCAATCCTCCAGTGCAAGCCCACCAAGTGCTTGGCCTCAGAATCAGCAACATTGTCATAACAATAACAAAGGTGAAACCAAACCCAACAATGGCAGGAGCAAAGACTCAGAAGGGAGAAGGAAGAACAAAAAGTGAGTGGGAAGAATTACCAAACAGGAGAACGAATGCTTACCTGCCTTTAGAAAAAATTTATATGTAAAAAAAAAAACTTTCATATCTTATTTTCAGGAAAAGCCGTGGTGAAAGACGGCAAGAAGCCAAAAGGACAATGGCAGCATCTCAGCCACAGAAAGTGAATGGAGTGCATCAGAGCCTTGACACCTCAGGATCCAGATCACCTTGTGAACAGCCACAAGTTTGGCAGAAGCAGTCACAGCAACAACAGGGGAGAGATGCCTCCCCCGTAACCACTGTCAGTTCCCTCTCTTCAGCAGCCTCATCTCCTGCACACCATAGTTGTGAGAGCGATGCAGGAAATGGAGGACATTCAGATCTGAGGTATAGTGCAGGTGAAACAAGCAACTCTTCGTGTCTGCGTGCAAATGGGGAATCTCTCAGAGGAGGAGATACCACAGCTTCTTCAAAGACTAGTGAAGCTCAATCCATGGGGCCTATGGCCCATGCTTCCTTGTCCATGGGTGCTAATCAGACTCACATGTCTGCTGGTTCAGGTAAACTTTGCCCTCTGGTTTCCTTGTTATTGTCTTCTTTTCAATGTTGTGGATACACAGATGGACAAAAATTGACAAGAATGGCTATCCCAAAAGTTGCAAACCTCCAGAAGTTCCACTATGTATTCTAGTCACTGTTTGTTGCTTATAGTTTGAATTTAATACTGTTCAGGGTACCTCAAAAGTAATTAAGCATTTTCATTCTGGAATACCTTTAAAAAAGTAGAGATTTGGAAAAATTTGTCAAATTCAATAGTTTGGTTTTTCTTCATAAAATCTGTTTTCACTGGTATCTTGCATTGCATATGTCACACAATGAGATAGCTGTTGAGCCACTTATTGAACTTCTTGGGTGAGGACACTCACCTGTCATTTGATGCCTTCCTTCAGAGAATCTCTGGTTTGGATGTATTCACATGATCCTTGTACAGAAAAAAGTACTTGCTATTAGCCAGATGTTTAAAAGCTGGTCATTGATAATTTTATTGTGACTAAGAATGCAAGAATCAGAGTGGAGACCTCTTGAACCAGGTATGAATGGAAAAGCCAAGTAATGGAATGTGTCAAATAAAGGAGAATCTCCAAAAATGCTTCAAAGGATTCCCCTAAGAAATTTGTATTTTCTGGAAGGTCTATTCAAGCAAAACAATTCTGTCAAAATTCAAAATTTTTTACATTGAATACCTCAGCATCTATCCAAGCAATTACCCATTTTTCTGCAATGGAACATCTATCAATGAATTCATCTATGGCAATTCTGTTAGAATTAAAACAATAATTATGAATTTAAAAGTCATGAAAATGAAATTTTTGTTCCTTAGTGGCTGAAATTCAAGTCTAACTGAAATAGTACCATCAAAAAATAATGTTACACTTTAGATATTATATAGAAAATTAGCATTTTGTTGAGGATTCATTGACACAGTATCCATAAACTCTTGGCATTTTCCTTTCCAAAGGCATCATTTTGTTTTCTCTGTTCCTATTTATTTGAATGTGTAGCATAGCATTATTGTTAATGCCTTGTTACATTGAATCTGTTGACCCCTAGTTTAGACAACAAGCAATATATTCATCTGAATGTAGATTACCTCCACTGGCTGAGTAGTGACATGGTGTAGTTTTATAATTTTCCATATAGATTTCAGAATGCAGGAAAAATGACAGGTGCAAGAGTGATTGGTTCCTGACACAAATGATGATTCCTTGTGTAGTGCTGTATGCATCCCATGAGACCATATGGAGAGAAATTGTTGAGAAGGTTAAGACTGGGAAGTCTCCAGAAAAGTGTTCAAACAATAACTAATTTTGGAATGCACAAGTGAAACCCATGATATGCCAATAACTGACATGTAACATATATCAATTACATTTTTCTTTTTGTTATGGTTCCAAGCACAATCCATGCACTTCAACCATCACTTCAGCAAGGACTAGATCCCTGCTGCATCAAATGATGTTGAGCTTCCACCCTCACACCACAACTTCAACATCATTGTAGTGATGTCCATGCGAAGGACTAAAGCTATGAAAGTTACTAAGAGTCAGATTGGAGCTGGAGGAAGAACATGGCAGTGCCACAAAACTCAGATCAACCATTGTGTCAATGATAGCACAACCTAAATGGGGATGTATTGTGTCTTGTTGCAAACAAGGTACCTTTGTTATCCCACAGTGCTATTTGTGAAGAGAAAGCTTCATCAAGTCATGTAGCACTCCATAAGATTGTGGACTGTTGATGGTCATTCCTTTCAGTAGGAAATTCACCAGGATAATGACATGCATATCCTGGGCGGGGGAGGGGAAAGGAATCATCAACCAGCTGAACTCAGCCTTTTTGATGATGGGGAATTTGAATGGCACCACTCCATGCTTGTCCTCTTGGAATTTAAGAATTGAAACCACAATTTATCACCTGTGACAATCTTGGATAAGAATTCTACTCCCTTGTCTCAAAATGAGCAAACAACTCACTTGAAGTGTCACATCAACAGAACATGGAACCCATAATGCACTGACTTTTTGAAACATTAAATGGAGGTGAATGATATGTTGGACTGACCCTTGGCTTACATTTGAAGTAGTGCAGAGCTTATTGGAAGTCACTCAACTATTCTCTAGAAAGAGTGCATTCACTGGGACAATATTTCCTCAGATTACAGGCAGTTTTCATATATGAATGGTGACTCTTGAAAAGAAAGTGCAGTGTGTTCTGTAGTTTGCTCAGTTTGAGTTAATAAAAGCTGAGCATCAACTTGGCTGTGTCTACAAAAAAAACACCACCAGATCGGAGAAGCATTGAGGATAGTTTGAGAAATTCAAATGCACTGGAACCTTCCAATGGCATCTTTATGAAAGCATTGTCAAATGGGCATTGGCTATTTTGCCAACAGGTCAAAATTCCTTAAAATATCAAAATTCAAGGAACATCGCTGTGAATGTCAAGGATCTAATTTACCAGTTTTAAAAAGTTTAGCCATATCAAATCTGTGCTTTCTGTTGGACACCCTGTATATCATCAGTGGACCTGTCTGGTCCACTGCAAGTCTCCATACCTTTGGGTTTGGTTCTCTTGCTAATGAATATATTTTGAGGCCTTTGTCCCCTTGATATCATATAATTAATGCTAAGAGTAGACATGGTCAGCCATGTGAGAGCAAAAGTTGAAGGCACCATGCCTGTCCCTTAAAATTGGCTTTAGGAGCCACTATTCTTCATGATCAGTTACAATTGTTTTCTAAACCCTTTCACTACTACTTCATATAGACTTTATAGACTCCAAAACAGTTTCAGAGGCACTGTCTTTTTTATGCCAACCATGATGTTGAACTAAGCTGGACTTTGTTAGGGAAAGCCTATGGGAAGTTGACTGTACAAACCTTACATTCACAACCTTGAGATATTAAAGTCTTCTCTTTAACTCTTTCACTGCAGAGTTTTAAATCACCCAACAACCTATCAGTGCTACCTTTTCTGGGAAAAGGACAAGTGAAACTTCAAACTTAATTTGAGTCATAATGGAACATATTTGGTTGCATTTACAATATATTCATTGCAATTCACAATATGTTTACAATTCACTTTTCATCAACCACTCCTGAGCTGTCAAAATTGTGTACATTGGACCTGCACTAATTGGCTGTCCACATAAACTAAGGCTGTTCTTGCTTACATTGCTGCTTTTGCTTCAAACTCTGAGCTATAAACATGCTCAATACTGTCATTGGTACTTTCTTCTCACCTTTCAATATTGTTATAGCATATGGAATCAGTATCCACCATGTATTGTTTTCTTTCCAATCCACCCAAAATGTGCTTGCAACCTGACTGAAATCAGCTGTCAACCACCCACTTTAAGAAATCATTTTCAATATGCAGGCAACATCTAGTGAGAAAGCAGGCTACCAACAGGAACCTGATACTCACTGGCACAATTTAGACATATCAGCTCAGTCATGTATGCTCTGGATGCACTGAGCAACAGAATATGCCAGTTGAGTATACTCTGTAGCTGCAGTTAAAGGGTTAAAAAAAAAAAGGCCTCTTTCAAATTTGGAGAGGTTCAAGAGGTTTGTTTGTATGCAAACTAGATCATGCCTCAAGAAATAAAGTTCAATTTCCCATTATCAGTGTTGAATTTCAATGTTTGCAAATTGGTAAAAGTTGTAAGGTTCTCCTGAATGCCTGCAGCTTTCAAGGAAAACCTAAATGATTTGATTTAAGATCTCAATTCTCATTTTCCTCAATCTAACCTGATAAGTTTTTTTTTGTTACAACTTCAGACTGGTTGGATTCTGATGAAGAAGCACATGTGTCTTCATCTTCTGTGATGGGGAATGGCTCATTGATGAGTTCTGAAGATGATAGAAATAGCTCATATGGTGAGTGAATCCAATAAAATATTGGATATGCATTTGTATGGTGACAAAAATTTTTTTTTTTTTAATCTGAAATAAGCCTTCAGTGCTGAATGATTTTTTTGGCATTGCAGGGAAAGTGGATGATGATCTGGGCTTTGACCCATTCCATGAGACACAGAAAGCCCTGGCTGAGATGATGAAGGAGTCTGAGGGGCAGGTGCCTCCCATGAAGGTACCACCAGGAATGGGAAACAAACCAGGAATGAATTTTTATGGCCTGTATGGAGGTGACATGTCTGCTCCCTATGCAACTCACATGGCTCCTCCATCCATGATGGGTAGGGAACAGATGGCTCGGACACGCCTCAGCATCCCCCCAGGTTTTGGTCCCTCTCGAATCCATTCGGGAAGCAACTGCTTTCCATCCATGTCCAGCATGCATTCTGGTTCGTTCATATGTTTATTATTTACTTCCTTTAGCCTTGGCTTTTTTAAGCTTTGTGATTGGCCCAATGGTCTCATTTCATTTGAAACTTTTTGGTTAATATCAAGTTTGACCCTGTTTGGTTTTTCTTATTCCCTGTTCTCATCTTTTTTATTTCCTCAACTGTCATATGCAAGCAGCATTTGGTATGCCTGACAAAATTGGTTTTCCCCATGCCTATGTTTATGTTGCTGTGAAGAAAAGATTCCAGAGAAGCTTTTATGACTGGCTTCACCCACTTAATATCAATAGATGTAGACAGTCTTTTGGTTTGCTGTTGTGCGTTGGAAGTGGGAAGTGCTGAACTCCAGTCAAGTGCTTCTAATAGGGATCAAGAGGACTGACTCTCCAAGCTCAAGACCTCTGGGATTCATTTTTTTTTGTTGTTAGCATTAATCTTGTAAAGATAGGTTGATCAAGAAAATTTTTGAAAACCAGACAAAACTTTCTCCTCTGAGTGAGTTTCTGGAAAGGAGAAAGCAGAGAACACACTTAAGCTCACTGGGCCACAACTGGATCTGTTGTGGGATTTTTTAACCCCAAACATGGCTTCTGCTTGCCATAGTGTTTCTCACTTTCAGCAATTCACTTAACTAGAGAGTGTATTACACTCTTGTGTGGGATGTTCCTCATGCATGAATGTCAAAGTCGAGTGAAAAAAAAAGTCTGATTTAAGTGAGAAATACTGCATGCTTTGGCATGTGCCCAAAAGGTAAAACTCAATTTCTTGTTTGCTGTAACAGATTCCTTATTTGGTGCACTTCATACCTATATCATTCGATGAATCCATTCAGTGTTTTTGGAAATTTGAAAGGGCTTCTTGTACATATATAAAATGGAGGTCTCAATGTGAAAAATATATGGGATGAATGTGTGAGTGCAAATGGGAGTCATGGGAGTGGGATCTTTTGGCGCTATTTATGCAACAAGTCAACAATGACATTTTTTGTTCAAAAGTTCACCATTGGAGATAGGCCATACACTAGAAATATTTATTCTAGTTATACATAGCATGTATGGTATATATGCTCAAACTTTATTAAGGGAAAAGACAATCATTTGACTTGTACACAACATTCCTAATATTTGAAAACCTTTATTTTCTACCAATGACTCAACTTTCTCTTTTCTATCCTGAGACTTCCTCTCTGTCTCTCTCCTGTGACAGCTCAGCCCTCTGCTATTGGTAATTGATTCTCATCTATTCATCCTCCCCTCATCCTTGTCATTGTGTGTTTGGGATTGGGAATAGACTTTCAATTGTAAAATAATCAAAACTTCTTGTCCTTTTATTTACTTACAATGCCAACTCATATCTTGTGTTGGCATCGTAAGGAAACAAAAGGACAAAAGCACACTCTTGACTGACAAAAAGATTGCATCTTCCAATTACCATTCAAAGTTAGAAGCACTTGACTCTGTTAAAAGGCACTACTGGTTTTATACCAGTAATTAATTTGTTTGTCAGTAATGCACTTTTAACAACAGAATTCATTCAATAAATTTAGTATTGTTGCTCATTTTTAAAACTGATATCCTCGAAAGCAGATCTTCGGGAGAGCAAAATCCTTGGTCTCCTGAATCACCAGGCAAGTGGTCCAGGTGGACACTTCTCACAAGGATCCCTGCCATACAATGGAATGCCAGCAGAAGGTCTTAATGGATGCAACTCAAGGTTCCCACCATACAACAGGTTCACAGGAAACCAGCACTCGACAGACATGTCTCAGTACTCCTTCAAAGAATGGCAGGAAGGCTTGAGGGCCTTGTTTCCTCCCAATGTGAATGTGTCCTTTGGAGCTCTTCCATCCTCATCAGGACAACATGCACAACAGTCCATGAGGGTGCCTCAGTCCCTTAGTAATGGTGAGTCTTATCTCATTCCTCCATTCTTTTTACCTGCCCTGACTAGGAGTAATCTGAAAATCAATTTGCTCTCAAAAGTAGTCATTTCTTCTGAATTGACTGACAGAACATTGTGTTCATATTAAACACTATCTGTGTTCATCCATTCACCCATTTGAGAAGTGGAATAAAAAAAGACAAGTTCTTATTCTCTTTCTAAATGAATAGTGAATCACTTTTCCAGGCTGGGGGTCATCAGCAGACTGGACACAGTTGGACCCAGCCATAGTGAGCACTGGGGGACTGGGGGGAACTCAAGGGCTGGAGAGTGAAGTGGATCATGCACCTCCACATTGGCTCCGTTCTCTGGAGCAGCTGACCCAAGAACCTGTGACTCTGGGTCCACCATCCTCCTCTGCCTCCTCACCTACTTCACCACCCCCAGGCTTCAATCTCAGCCCTCGGGTTAGCCACATCCCCCGAGCACATCAACTCCTTTGAAGGTGACTCTTTGCCTTTATGCCTTCTGATTCACTTCCTCCATTGCTGGATAATGACTTTCAGTTATGAGTTTTTTTTTTAATTCTTATTCTCATTAATTTCTGCTGTGACACAGAAGCTTGGAACTTGAGTGTTAAATGAAGTTAATTAAAAGTTTTCTAGTATATGCTTATGATGAAAGCTTCTCTCAGGATGCTTAACCAAACGAAGATTCTAGACCGCTTCTTGTCAAACTGAAGTTCTGTTGCTGAAGTTTTCTACATGTGGAAATTCTTTTTACTGTTTTCCTTTTTCTTATGCTTAGAGGGTAAACAGATGAATTTCACCTGATCAGTTAAGAAACTTTGAAGTACCTTGCACTGTTAACAGAAGAGATTCCCCCTCTTTCAAGTAAGGAGGTGAACCCTCAGGAAATGAGGTAGTCTAAACACATGTTGGGCATTGTATGAGATTGTGATTGAGAGCTTGCTTTTTTTTTTATCATGATGCTTCTGGACACTCCTTTCAGCTTCCAAGCTTCAGTCTGAGTGGGATATGCTGTACTAATTAAAACAGCTGTTAAGATTAACCACACTTGATACTGTTTTTCTGAAAGGAGCATCTTTGCATATCTCACAATTTTTTACCTTGACATGAGATGGTGGGACATTGAATTATTGGCTTATTATTTGTGTTACAGATTTGTCCACATGCAAGAGGGATGAAATCGTGGAAATGGGAAACCGGTCTACATGCCTCCATGTCTCCATGTCCTTTGGCACCTTTTGCCTCCCTTTCTTTGTCTCTCAAACTTTTTCATTCCCACTTTTTGTTTCCCCATTGCCAGCCTTTGCTGGATTATTTCCATCAGTCTATGTGCTGATACATCATCTTCTGGCTTCCTCCAAGTGAAGTATTGAAATAGGTTGCTGCAAAGAGGGTGTCCTATGTTTTGTCCTCTATCTTCTCTTTTCTTTTTTCATTCTTCCTATCTTTGCCAATGAAATGTGTGAGGGCTATTTCCCTGCCATGCCATGCTGTGCTGGCCAGAGTTGCATCTGTTTCCGTTCAGATCAGGAATTCAGCATGGTACTGATGCTGGGTGGAGAAGGATTTATGACACAATGAGGTGACAAGAAAAGTCATAATTAAAAAATGAAATAAAAATTATATCTGAAGAATTATCTGACCCTTGTTTTTATTTTTCCTATTTCATTCTTTACAACTTAGGTGTTCTCTGTTAAGAGGCTATTCAGGAAAATTGTCAGCAATGTTTGGATTCCTTCCATTGACATTGAATGCTCGATTGTGTCATGTAAAAACAAAAGCTACTTATTTAAAACATAAATGGCAGGCACCTAGGTGCTGTAAATTAGACCCTCAAATTGTAAACTATTAGAATGCTGCCAGAATGCTATTCAAGATGATACTACGAGGTTAGGAAGTACATCTGCTACTCTAATTTACTCCTTTTGCATGTTTATTACATGTGCATATACTTAGGACTGACACATTTTTAAATGCCCACCATTTGTGTTATAGTATTTTTCACTTGACTCAGACACATACATGGGACATTCCTCATGCATATTATATTTTTCTGTCAGGAGTATGGACAGACTTGCTTTTACTGTATCAGAATTAGGGCTGTACACTACTGATGGTGGTCTTTGGCAGATGGGCCAATCATAGGCTGTGATTCATAGAGGCTCAAACCCACCCAAAATTTTGGCAGAAGGGGCTCAACAATTTTTGAGATGTCTTGGTTGTACAGCTGCTGTGGGTGTACTCTTGAAGCTAGAAATTTATAGTTCTCACAAAGCAGAGAGGAAAGATATATGTATGTGTGGTTTGATTTGTAGATCACTGCCTCATCTAGAAGTTGAGAAATAAGTGCAAAAATCTCTGTGCATTTTTTATGCACCATCCTACGTTGGAAAAGAGAGGCCTGATGCAAGCATTTGATTCATCATTGATGTCAGTTGCTGAAAGAGCAGCTTTGGCTTATGCAACTTTTAGGTTTCAGTTGTCTGGAAGGGACTAATGGGTAGAAGCCTGTGCTTCTTGGAATAAACAGAAGTCCAGTGACATGCCCAATTATATCCAGATCCATTCATCAGCAACAGTAAGATCTATCATGTCATGGGCAGCTTCAATTTTTTTTTTCTTTTTATGTGGAAGAGGCTGGAAGAATCTGTTCCTTCGCATAAATGCAACAAAAAGAGTTCAATGACAGGAAGCACTGGGAAATGCATTCTTCTTTCTTTTTTGGCAAGGGAATGAGAACTTTGCCAGATGGTATCATATCAGCAGCCAATGCATCAGTACAGCCACAATTTGAATGCATGAACGAGTAAACTCATGAAGTCAGGTCTCTCTCTGAAGGAATACCATTTGGGGATGAGAATTGTGGCTGGAAGCCTAATTGAAACTCATGAAACAGGAGAATTGAGTGCTTCAAGGTTTCTTTTTCAAATCTGTATTTGGGATAGAGATGTGCAAAATATGTTGCATGTGTTTTATATACACCACACAAAATACTGAATGAATGGAAGTGACTTTAAAATACTAGATTAAAAATGTATATTCAACTATGCCTTAATAATAAAAAAAACATGCCCCACATTGGAATAATAACCAAAAATTTTTGGACTTCACTGCTTTGTTTGACCCTATCTAGATATTTAATATTGGGTCTGTGATGTTATCAAAGTGAAGCCAGTGGCTGAACACCTGCCCACTGAGATCATACCTCAGCAGTTTCAAAAGTGAGAGAACGTTCATCTTAGTGATGGCCACCAGCTGCTAGTTCCTCCTTTTTTTTTTCTTTATCCCTTTTTGAAAACATGCCCATCCCATGTGAAAGCATCATGATGTGCATTTGGAGGCCAAATGCCAAGTGGTTCAAGCTAGCAAATAACAGGGCTCACTTTAGTTGGGGAAAGATCCAGACCGACAATATTATGGTGAGACCTTGGAAGCTTGGGGAACTATGTAAGTGGTAGGACTGTAAATATGGGTGGGCAGGTGTTGGTGTTGAGCAGGGAAGGGAGAGAGAAAAAAAAAAGATGAAAGAAGATTGCATAAGAGAAGCAGAAGGGGGAAGGTCCATTGATTGGTTGACATACTTGGTAAAACACTCAAACACATAAATAAACTCTGATTTATTGTAACAATAGCTGGCATTCAACAAAGCATCATCAGGCTCTAAAAATTCAACCTGAAAATGAAACTCAGTCCTGTTGGGCAATCATGTGAACTACCCCCTTCAATGCTGAAATGCTCTGAAGAATTGCCCTGAGACCATCTGGATTTCTGAGCTGTGTAACAGAACGAATAATGGACTGCATTTCAAGCCCAATCTGATGCTTCAGGTCAAGGCCAGCAAAATCAGCACTTTCAAGTCCAGGAGAGTCAGATTCTTTCACATCATGATAATCTCCTTGAACATCATGGACCTCTTCCATTGAAGAATGCTCTGGAGAAGTTGCACATACTTTCATTGGAGGATCAAAAGCAGCCACCAATTTAGGACATGTATCATGACCATAATGGGAAATGGTTCCAGTGACATGCACTCTACCATTTTTGTAAGTTGTCACCTTGAGCCAGGCTGGGCAGTGTTGGACTAATGAGCCAGTTCCTTGCAGAGAACGCTTCTTGGTCTTCAAATTCCCATCACGATTGCAGATATATGTTTGAGTGAACCCAATAGAGGCTCCATTCATCTGCTTCTTTAATGGATATTGACCTCCATTCTTGATAAATTCAGCACACTCTTCTCTCTCTAATTGGTCCTTCCAGCATTTGAATTCCTCACTGGAGGCAAAGACCTTGTCCACTTTCTGTAAAACCACACGATGCCTCTCAGCCAAATGTTTGCTGAGGGAGCCAACAAAGCGAAACATGGCAGGGCATCCATCAATGATGCAAGGACACTTGTTGTTCCTCATTCTCCTCCTGGTCAAGGGACTAGGTAGTGGTTGCACATAGTCATGACCGTTTTCTTCTCCAGAAACAACAGTATCAGATGACAAACATCGAACTGCTGTATCTTCCTCATTCTGAGATAGGCCTCCTGGTCCTGTTTGATGAGGATTACTTGCAGAATCACAATGGGAAGTCTTCAATGATGATGCATCAGGTACATCTGCATGCATCAATCTATGCTTGATCAAGGTCTTCCATAGGCTGAAAACTTGGTTGCACAGACTGCATTTGAATTCCTTCCCATTCTTCCTTTTGAACTGGTGAACTTCAGTCCAGTGCCGGGAAAGCTTTGCTTTGGTTGGAAGGCTCTCAGGACAGAACAGACAAGGAAAGGTGCACTTTGACTTAGATGAGAGCTTCAGGATATCAGAGGATCGTAAGCGAGATATGTCCACAACTTTAGCCATCATGGGAATTAATATACTGTTCCAATTCCTGTGAAAGAAATTAATTATGCTAATATAGTGTATTACAGGAATAAGAGGGACAACTTTGACAAATTCAGATGTAAGTGATTCAGATTTAGCTAAAACTAAGCATAGCTGGAACACTAGAATTTAAACAGAAAACCTAAAAATGCCTTGCATCAACTTCTTGAGTGGAAGTTTTGTTTTGTGCAATGAGGGGGAAAGTGGAAGCAATGGTCTAAACTGGGACTACTCCACTCCATTACTTTATTAAATCAGGCTTGAGGATGATATATCATTATCAGTAATGATGTATCATTGTGCTGAAAAAATGGAGGAAGAGGGAGTAGTAAAGGTAGTCTTCAGATAACTCAGATGGACTATTGATAGGTAATCCATGGACCTCTTGCAAGTCAAAGAGGGACATGAAAATTTGATGGTAGCTTCAGGTATATGGGAACTTATATGTTGCTGACAAGGGTAAAGTCCAGCAGGTTAAACCTTAGAACACAATTTGTTCTGCTCTACAAAAACTGCCTGACAGATCTGAACTTATACTGAGGAATGCCTACTGGAGAATGTAAAAAGGGTAGGGAAGGCACAGGAAATATATCCTTGCATTACACCTGCATAAGGGCAGCATTGTATTGGCATGGTTTTCAGTGGTGTAGGCAGGAAATCAACAAGGGGGGGGGGGGGTTGAAGCCAGGTAGACACCCCAACCCTATGCCTAGCTCCACTACTCAGAATTTACCTTTTCAAAGAAATGGTCTTGCATCTAAGGTCTGTGGACAGACATCAGACTTTCCTCAAAGGGGTATAGCTAAAATTGGCATTCCCAAGGAAGGCTGAAGTATGCCTGTCAGTGTCACTGACTGGGAAGCCCAAGGGAGGGGGTTCTAACCCCCTAAACCCCCTCCCCTTCCCTGTGCCATTGATGATTTTTCTTTGCCCTGGATGTACTGGCATATCATGACTATGTTACTCTAATTATGTGCACCCTGCATGTCATCTATCCTGGGGTGATTAATGCTGTTCACAAGACCCATGAAAGAGAAGATTTCAAGATAGTTAGTGATATCAAGAGGCGATTTCACCCATTTTGATATCATGTGTCGAGCTCGAGCATTCCTTAATTTTAGGGTAGGCCTAACCCTCTTAAAGCTAAATATTTTTGTATTTTTGTTTTGTTTTTTTTGTTTTTTTGACTATTTTAGTTGCTTACTGTCTAGTACCTAACGTCAACATTGCCCCCCCCACCTTTTTGCCTGTCCATGAAAGCATCCAGTTTCTTCTTAGATAGTCACAGAAGGGGCAGCCACTACTTCATCATCAAATGCATTCCATGCATTCACCACTCTGCAAGTAAAGAATTCCTGTCTCCACCTGAGCCACACCTGCGGTTTGCACAACTTAAGTTGGTTACCTCTCATTCTCTTGCTGTCATCAAACTGGAAAAACCTACCACACTGGTAAACGCTTCTTGTATGATCCTGACCTCCTTAATCATTCTTGTGGCCCTCCTCTGTACTCCCTCGAGCACCAACAAATCGCCCTTATTTGTAGGCCTCCAAACCTGGATGCAATATTTCAACTGGGGTCTTATCAGCGCTGCATACAATGGAAGAATAACACGCGATGCCCTACTTGCAACTGACTGACGAATGTAACCTAGAATCCTGTTGCATTTGGCCACCGTCACTTGCACGTGCGAGGAAAACTTGAGGTCCTCGTCGATAGAAACTCCTAAATCTCTCTCTCCATTTGCCTCATCCAATTTAACATCACCGAAAGCGTTGGGAGACCTACCATTGTTTCGACCGACGTGGAGAACTTTACACTTACTTTTATTAAACCTCATGCACCATTTCTTGCTCCACTCGTCCAAAAGACTTAAATCTCACTCGGCTCTAGCCCTATCCACCTCCCCCCTTATGGTAAAACCTATCTTGGTGTCGTTTGCAAATTTACTTATCTTACCCTCTACGCCAAGATCCAAATCGTTTATGTAGACCAAAAACAGAAGTGGTCCAAGGACCGAGCCTTGAGGGACACCGCTTGCAACTCTGACCTCCTTCGACACTTCCCCATTAATCATCACCCAAATACATACATATTGGCATACTACAGGAAGTGCAGTCCCTTTGAGTGAAAAGAAAGGCCCACATGAAGGAAACTAAAAGCTAGTTAGGCCTGAAAATATTATTGTGGTCTGGCTTCTTAATGTAAGGTACTATTAGGGCTAGACTACAGTGTTTCTCGCTTGAGTCAGACATTTTTCACCTGACTTGGCTACAGTATTGGCTTGGACACTATTTGACTTGTGTGCGAAAGCACAGTAATACAGAATATGATACAAGTGGCTGCTGGGCACAGAAGGCTCAGGGCCCATGATTACAACCTGACTGGAACACCAGCTAACGACTATCTGCCTTAGTTCGTTTCGAACTCGGGTCCTCTCCCAAGGTAGCCAAGATCACTCCCAATCACTCCAGTGTTAGCTAGCCTAGCTTTAGCCTGAAAGCCAAAATAATGTATTGAGACATTTTCCTGGCTTGCAGTTGAGCAGTTGAACTTCACGGAAGACTAGAAACAGAATTTTCCTGAAGAGTGGAGCCTTACACTGGGAAACCTGAACCTCAGTTGACAGTACCATGCGATAAGGGCACATGGAACGGGTGAGTGAAGGGCGCCATTGATGAGATTCAGCAACAAGCACCATCTCTTATTCCATACTGGAATTGATAAAAGAACAGAAACTGCTCTGTTGGCGAATTACTTCATGTCTATATTCCTCTAGCTCTTTCCTTCAGAAGTTGCATTTACTGTTGGACTCTCCTGGGCCAGAGAGAGATTCTGCCCTGGCTCATGGAGAAGCTAGCCTGAAAATCGTATGGGAACAAAGGCAGGGGCTTAAATCCCAGCCGTTGAGAGCTTCACTCAACTCGCACTAGATGTCTCTAGGCTGGGAAAGATCTATGCGTCATCTGCTTCCCCGAGAGGATAAACGTCATGTTTTTTAATCCTCTCTATTTCTGTCTGAAGTTCGTTTCCTCAGATTTAATGCCCAAGTTTGGGACTTGAGAGAATGAGCTTGATGAAGATAAGGACAGACGGTGACTTAGATGTCTAGATGTCTGCCCCAAACCGCGATCTGGTAAGAGTGGTGTACGACTTAAAGCGACAACCCTACTTGCAGAGCTTGGAAACAATTCATTGAAGTCTTCTCTTCTTTGCTACGTGGATAAGCACCTCATACATCGAAGTATGAGGCGAAAAAAAAAAACATTTTGTTTCCTTCCTGCCTGATTTGGATGTAAACAAAATTTGCGACCTCGTGTTTGCAAATTCATTACCGTCGACGAGAATTTATTGAGGTCCGAGAAAAAATTGATTCTCTGGGATCACAGAGGTGCATCGCCCATCCATTAATGACACATTCAGTACTTTGACTTCGAAGCATGTTCAGGTATATGCTGACTATTAACTTTTGAAACTCCTTATATATCTGCAACCCTCCCTGTGGCAGCTCCTGGCTATTCCCTTGTCACCCTACGACGGCTCAAGAAAAACACTGTTCAGAAGGAACTCTTCCACTCGTGTCCACCTCGTTCTAAAAAAAATATATCATGGCCTGGACCTCAGGTAGATATTGTGACGGATGAGGATGGCATCGGGAGAGTCGACTGAATGTCTGGGGTTCGGTGGTGTAGTGGTAGCACACCTGACCGGCCAATCAGGAGGCCCGGGTTCAATTCCCGGCCGTTCCTTGGGTTCTTTCGACCTCTCATGCCTTCCGTCGTCCGTCTGCCACCTCCCCTCCGTAACAATATGAAGACGATGAACTCGACGTTGCCCTCGACACAAGTGAACATTCCATTCTTCCATATGACGAATTATTGCACTAACGTCGTTGCGCAGCCTGTTCTTTGTGAATCACGACCCTAGGTTCTTGAACCCAGTTCCGTACGTTATCTAAAACGGTGATACCGCACCGAGTGCCATCCCCTGCTACGACCAGTGACTCGGGGATCAGTGCAAGTGGTTGCGCATGACTCGAGCCGTGCAACTCCACTCATACCTTCGTGAGTCATTCCTGCCTGGTATAACATGAGTAACAAGGGACTTCAAGGGTGTGATTCGATTTATATTTACGTCCGGGAGCCGCAATATTCATTTCATTGACCTTGGCAAGGAGGAAAAAAAAAGTCAATACACACGAATACTCAATAAAGATCCTCGGAACAATCGGAGTGACTCACAAGCAAGAATCAAAGATGGAATTTGAAATATTCAGGATTGACTGAGCATATCTAGATGAGTCTCAAAGTTCACCTTGGGGTTCTCCATCTCTTTGCAGAGCCGAGAAGAGTGATTGACAACTATCTGAAACTTTGACACCTTCGAAACATGAGTGGCCTCCATCTGCAGAAAAGAGGCTTGAAGTTTGACTTTCTAGAGTTTTATACCGGACTTCTGTGTGAAATGAATAATCATTCTTGAAAAAATGCAGGAAATTCAGATGATCGAAATAGGGAAACTTTGGGGGGATGGGGGAGAAATTCAAATTTCAGGGAAAGACAAGTACGTGAATTATGTATATAAATAAGCAGAAGGAAATGGAACTGCCTTTCCTGTCTGCCAAACCGGAATTCCTTAAAGTTCCAATAAAACTCCATTCTATGTAGGGATGGGTTATTGACCAGTCAATTAAAAACATGTCAATATGGTCAAATATGGTCAACTATGGTCAATTTTGGTAAATACGACCAACTTTTATTTATTTATTTATTTTTTCTTCGTAGTTTTTGCACCATTGTATATGTCATGACTCACAAGTGATAGACTAGGTATGGGAAGTTGACTGGTCAACATGGTCATTTTAGACCAATTGCAGAAAATAATGGTTATGAGCCCAACAAGAGGTTAGGCCTTATGACTATATGATCATAAATGACCATGTTGACCAGTCAACATCTCATTGCTAAGATAAATTTAATGTTCCAACTCATGCAATCTATAGGGTAAACAGTAATGAATCATGTTTCATAGCTAGATTAATTTTTTTTTAGGCATAGGCATAGGCATAACCCAAGTACTTGTCCCATGATCACAGACTTGAGAATAATTTGATGCTCTGATGCAGACTATTAGCCAGGACCATGATTGACCGACCTTGCACGAAACTAAAGTTCTAAAGTTGTTACTTAGATCTTGAACCTTAACTTTGAAAGTCCTTGAGGCTATAAAACTTTGAACAGCAGGCTATGCCTGCACACACACTCTGCATCACTCAGGTGAAAGGTCATGATAGTTTGAGCATTTGCTAAAATGTTTTCATACGCAACAGGTGCCACAGTCTAGGTGTTTGGCAGACTGCATGAACAATTCTTTAAAATTGAACTGGCTCTTTGGTTTTAGTGTTGGGGGATAAATGACCACAGTTATGAGCTCTATAAAAATGTCTTAATTCACTGAATCAAAAAAAATTGTGGTCAAAAGGTGGTCAATTGACCGCCCTATCCCTAACCCCATTGTTTTTCCGCTCAAATGAATGAGGAATTCATCTTATCCAACTGGCTCTGTCTCTGATGTCAGAAGATGAGAGGATGTTGTTGGAAGTAATTCCATCATCCTCCTGGCTGTATACGTCAAACATATATATATATAAATAGGTCAAACATGTAATTAATCTTAAACCTGGGTCCCTTTTGCTGCTAATGGCCTTTTAGTTCCCCTACCTAAAAGACCTTCAGAAACTGTAAGGGGATACAAGAGCCATGAAAACATCTCATCCATGATGACCCATCTCACCCTCATCACACCCATGGAAACATCTCTCCTAAAAGCTGAATCGTCGATTAGAAGCAGATTACTCAGTCCGTAAGTCGGCGGAATGTATTACGAGCATAAAAGCCCCATTGGCCTGGTGTATGGGGCCCAACCCATTCATCAGAGAATGGGCTGCAAAACCAGGCCACTTTCTGTTTTGGACGTCTTCCCAAGACTTATCAAGGAGAGTGCTGTTATTGTTCCGAGGCATTCCAAGTATTGAAAAATATGGGACAACTTTATAGGCTGTTCGTTTTCTCAATAAGGCCCAAGTAACGAAGCACTTTTTTCTCCCCATGACGAGCAAGATTTCCACAAGAAACCAATTCCGGCTCATCCGCCTGAGAATACTCTTTAATCCGTTGCACGAGGATTCTTTTATCTCTATTTCAAAGAAAAATTTGGCGCTCCCCCGAGCCTCTTGGGGATACAGCATTTTTATCTTGCCCTTTGCTCAAAAATTATTTTTGTGATATGGGCGAATTCTCTATCGTTGGAAAGCTCATTGTCAAACGTGGGCGAAGACAGGCTTCTCGCTTTTCTTTGGAGGGGCTTGGTAGTGCCAAAACCATTATAGATCGGCATGACTCATAAATAGTAAGTACCGTGATTGCAAAGGCTTGTCCTCCAGCATCATCTTGCACAAAACTTCATTCCGCTTTTCCAGGAAAAGACGGAAACTCCAGGAGTTGGTACAAAAAAAGCCCAGACATTTTAACCGTTTACGTTAACTTTCTATGTAATGAGTATCGAATTTATGGCGAAATCTTTTTAACCCTCGAAGTTTCTATCGTTCGGACGCTGCTGAGACCAGGTCAAATCCCACATTCTTCTCTGCAGATCCCTTAACCTTCTCTCCCTTCCAGCTGAGTTCTTCCCTTATAAAGGGGTAGTGCAGCCAGGACCAACCAGTGCCCATGGCGAAAAAAGGGGTCTTACCCCAGACAAAGTGAAAGTGTACAGTGAAAGGGGGAAAGGACATGACATTTGTACCTTATTTTGTTTCGGTATCCTTCGTTGGAACATATTTTTTATACACACATTTGTACCTCATAGCGTACAAAATATGTACTTCACTGTACGTTTCTGCTTTGCTGTATAGCGACTGGCAACTACGACGTTCCCATCGCTTTTAAGCATCAGTTCGTACAGTGGTGTTACGGCACAAATGAAAGAAATTTTGTTACATTGCGCCAATTTTCTTCATTAAGGAGAAAGGCAAGTGAAGGTCGCCGTCCTTAATTGGGATGGGAATGGGTCCAGGAGACGATTAGATTGAAAGCACGAGCGTTGAGGAAGAGTGGCCTCTGCGTTCGTTCTCAGCTGAACGCTCATTTAGTGGAGGCAACTTGAATCTATGGTAAGCAAGCTGATTGCACCACATGGTTGCATTTGCTGTGACGGATGGTCGCCATATTGGACTGAGGGAAAGGACGGTAAGCAAAAAGCTAGAAAGAAGACCGAGACTGATATGCGGGGAAGAGGAGAAATCTCGGCGTCTGAACTGGAGACATATGGTCCAGAAAAGAATTCTGTGACTCTAAGTGTTTGTATTTGCTTCGTGGTCTGGTTGGACTCTGGGAAATACAGGTACAGGGTGATCTTAAAGTAACGCAAGTGGAAAACATATCGGGATATCCGGTCTAGGTATACTTTTCGATTATGATCGAAATATCAAAATAACTCGATCTGGGTCTAAGTATCGAACCCAAATATCAGATAACTCGAGCATCATAACCTAGATGATAACTGACGTCACGCTGCCATAGGCCCCCCTGTCGTCTGTCGTCAAAGGTGGCTCCTTATTAAACTTCATTTATCCCATGTGTCTTTCACGTGGACAGTTGCTCCATTGAATATATTTCTAACTTTACCACCTCGACTGTTTGGAGACAGCGCAGCAGTTACCGACGGAGACCTGGTGTCTTTCTTGTGAAAAAGGATTGGAAGAT